ATAATGCTGAGCTCTCTGGCTGACTAGCCTGGCACCAGGAATTTTAGGTAGAGATTGTAGACTTCAGATGTGGTCGTGAAAACATTGGTGTGACCTTACTGACTCTCACCAGCAGCTCTCACCTTCCTCTCCAGCTTGGGTAGAAATAAAGTCTGTTTTGTGAGTAGTCTGCATGAGGCTTTGGTATCCCCGGTGTGGGACTGTAGATTAGAGCCAGGCAGCCAGATTCCGGGCCTTTGCTCTATTCCCATTCTCTGTCTTTGGCCCTGAAGATGGACAGGGTGCATTGCAGACCCAGAGTACCTTTCCCTTGAAGGGTCTGTGAGAAAGGAAAGTGGCGTGGCGAGGCCTCCCAGAGGACACTACATGGAGCAGTGCTGTTGGGGGGGGGGAGGGGGTGGACAGATAGGACTGACCTCTCACCAGTCCCAACTCAAACTTCCTTGGGGCCCAGAGGAACTCAAGGCTTAGACAATGCTAATTAGCACCTCCAGGAGAAGACGAAGCTGGGGGTGTGGGATGATATGGAGAAAAACCCAGGTGAGATGGAGCAGAATCTCCCTCCTTAACCATTGCCTTCTGGGCATCTTGCTCTTGGGATTTAGCCACTGACAGGCATTTTCTCAAGTTCTTTGGAGACAAGAAAAACCACCTGAAATGCTAGAATCCAATGTCCAAGTAACCAATAAAATGGTCAAATTCACATAGAAGAATGAAGACTGGCTTCCAAATGGCCCCTTGTGGAATCTTTGGAGCATGAGGTTTTACCTCAAATACAAGGCCATTGGGGTGGGCTTTGAAGACTATGGCTCACCTATGATTTTGGTGTAGTCTCTGCTTCCTGAGTCCCTTAAATACGAGCAAGCCACACTGCACGTTCCCACTGCCGTGGACCAAGCAGCTATAGCCACCCATACCTTCCTCACCATGACGGGCTGCATGCAGCATCTCCATGACATGATGGACTCAGTGCACTCTCTAGAACTACGAGTCAACATAAATCTCCCTGCTTTTAAACGGCTCCTGTCAGACACTTTGCCACAGCAACAAAAAAGCAATTCAAGCCCTTTTCAAAAATGTTTGCACTTTTGTGTGGTTGTGTCGAGGACGCCTAACACGCCGTCTGCCTACTTAGGAAGCTAGTAGTTATTCTACACAGGGTTGTGCACCAGGCAGGTGTCATACAGATCTCTAGAAGTCACTGACCTGTGAAGACTGCAGTCATGCATTGCTCCCTCCCTGCAGCTGCAGACAAGACAGCACCCATGCTACTTTCTGTTTGGGGGGGGGGGTGTCTCCTTTAGACCTTGCACAGGCAGAGCAGTGTCTGTCCTACTATACCTGATATATTTCACTTAGTCCTGGGTCCTCCAAATTCAGCCGTGTAGGTGAATTTCGTGGAATCCCTTCTTGATTGGCAGTCCTTCCAGGGGGTGACTTCCCATCATCACCTGCTGTAGAGCCAGCAAGCCACACACAGCAGTGGGGAGTAAGGCAGGGGAGCACAGGCCTGATTTCCAGGCCCCTGACCGGATGGCTGACCTTCGATTGACATTTACAGTCTCTTGGCATCAGCCTCCCCTCTGTAAAATTAAGTGGTTTTACTCAACACCACCAAGGTTTCTCCTGCCTTTGAGTGGTTATGATTCTGTGTGGGTTAGATGGTGCAGTGAACGTGTGTCTGGGAGACAAGTTAGTCTACATTGGCATCTGATGCTTAAAGACACATATGTCCTCCCCAAGGCTTTTGTCATTTGGGAGAATTTATTTAATAGGAGGTCCAACACCAGATTCTGTGAATAAAAAGCATTATTTTCAGCATCTTTCTCTAGAATGCTTTCTCGTTTCCCCTTTCTTCCCTTAGAAAATGCCTTAATATAAATATTAAGATCATAATAGAAAAAGAATTCTTCCTGATGAGCTTGAGATCCTGTAGTAACAACATTAAGCCAAGCCTTTTATTGCTGGTTAATGAAATTCTTTTAAAATTGAACCAACTTCAAGTAAACTGATTTGCATTGATTTGGTAATGTATAGAGCTCAAGCCACTCCATGTATAAGCAAATTAAAAGCTTGAAGCCTGTAAGGCCAAGCTGCATAGTCCCTGGCAGAAAAATTGATCCCATGATTCCCTCCAGGGGAACCTTGTTTGGGGGTTGGGACTGTTTAAAGGTACACAGTCAATTTTTTTTGGCAGAAAACAAAGTTAATTAGGAGAAAAGTAAAATCATGTTCAGTGCTAGACTCAACCTTTTTCCAAGTCACAGAGATAATTTTTATAATGGAAAAAGTCATCTTGGGTGACTTCAAAGCCCATTTCACAGAGGCACAGCTGTTTTCACTGAGCATCCCTCCTGGGTGCGCCATCCTTCTGATTAAGCATCCCTCATGGTTCCTAGACTCTCCACTCATCCAACCACTATGGATGATTCCATAGTGTAATCATCATCACACTGGTGATTCCATTCTTTCTGTCAGGCCCAGCTGTGGCTCCTCTATAGATAAAGAGAAGAGAAGAAGGACTAAGCCACAAGCCCCATGGAATCCAGGCCTGGGATCCAAAAGCAGTGCTTTCAGAAGAATGAGTGTTAGCTCTACTACCTGCTAATGGCATTATCTTAGATTCTCTGCCTCAGTATTTCATCTATAAAATGGGGTCTTTGAACACTTATGTAATTGTGTTGTCCAAAGGATGATGGATGAAATATTTAAGGTGGAGATGTCCAAAATTCAGCTATGATTGTCACTGTGGCTGTTAATGGTGTTACTATGAAGATAAATGCATCCACCCTTACCCTCCTATCCCAGGACCAACAGGGGGAAAGTGTCTTCCAGACACAGGCAGATAAATCTCCCAGTTACTGAATCAGAGATTATTTATATTAAAAAAAAAGGTAGGTATGCACCAATTGTTCATATTCACCTTCAAGATGATGTGAGGTATGGGGACTTAGGCTCCTTTATCCAGACAGGAGAAGATGTCAAACAAACATTTGCTCTGGTACCTACTGAAATCACAACTGGTACAAACCTCTGAAGCGAAGAGTGCTTACCGAGTACTTCCAAGGAGCCTGGTTGTAGCACTGAGGAAGGGCAGGCCTCCCCAAGGTCCTCACATGTAGAGGTGGCCAGGGAGAGAACGCACAAAGAAGCTAGAGATGTACACAGTGCCAGCCCCACCAGGCTGTGCAAAGGATTGTGGTCTTATCCTGGGAGCTTAGACTACCATCAAAGGCTTTTAATCAACAAAGTAGCAACACCAAGCTAGTGTTTTAATCTTCCCTGCTGCGGCATAAAGAAGGCTGAAGGAGAGAAGAAGAGAAGCTTTGGGGGTGGTCTGAGTAAGAGGCAGGTGCACAGAGCAGGTACACAGTCTCCTTAGTCAGTGTGATCTAGTGAAGGAGGCCTTCACAGCAACATCAGAAAGCTGTCAGGAGCAGCTCTCTGGAAAAAGGCACATTTGGACACTGAGCACTGAATGAGAAAGCATATAGAAACATGATTGATGGCAGGAATGTTCATATAGGAACAGACACACACACACACACACACACACACACACACACACACACACACACACACACGCATCCCATGCAAGGACATAAGGAACAACTAGATTCAGTCCTTGCCTCTGAAAATCTTGTGGCCTGCTGTGATCAGAATGTTTGTGTCAGCACAAAATTCACATGTTGAAATCCCAACCCTCAGGGTGATAGCGCAAGGAGCATGCTTTCTGAAGCAGTTGGGTCATGAGGGTGGAGGATTCGTGAATGAAATTAATGTTCTAGTCAAGGAAACTTGTTTGTGTCTTCCACCACACAAGGTCACAAAGGAATGGCACTTGTCCATGAAGGAAGCAGCCCTTACCAGACACCAAGCTCACAGTACCTTGATCCTGGACTTCCTGGGCTCCAAAACTGTGAGATAGAAATTCCTGTTGTTTATAAGCCACCAGTCCAAAGCATTTTGTTACAGCGACCCAAACAGAAAGAGACAGCTCCATTAAGCAGTTCTCAAAGATCCTCAAGATCTATCCTATGACTCTATCTCAAACCCAACTTCTACCATCAGGCGGGGGACAGAAGAGCAGAGGGGCTGTCTCATGGAAGTGTTTTCCTGTCTCAGTGTGAGAGCAACTTGGGTCACTTGTTGCCAAATGATTGTAAAGACTTGGGAGGCTGTGAAGTAGAGAGGAACCAGCTGATATTCAGCAAGCATTAAATGTTTTCAACTTCATCAGGCAAAGGTTTCCCTCTTTGGGTTCATGTCCAAACCAGTTTCTATTGGTTAGGTCCTTTGAGGGTGACACTATTTCTTCATTAGAGATAGACAAACAAAGAAGTTAAGCAAGTGACCCCCATTCACACAGCCAGTCAGTGGTAGCAAAATGTATTTAATATCACTGTTGGAGTCAAAACTGGCCTTTTGTTTGGAGTAGAGGGTAGTAACATAGGCCCCCAAACTGGGTGCATGTCATAAAGAGATGGTGAGTAAAGATGGCTACCGAGACCCATTTCCGTGTTTGATGAAGTTTCTCTGAGCACTGGTCTTTCTCACTCTGCACAGCATCTTCTATAGAGATGACACCGTGGAGAGAGGTGTGGTTACAGGGAGCTCAGTTACATATCGGACACCTTGGCAAGCTCAGTGAGAAAGGAGCTTCAGGAACTTCCTGAATATTCTGATTAGCCTGGATGGCCAGCAACATCTCAAGACCAGTCATGGAGCCATCGGGATGGGATAACTAAAGCTGACTTTCCCAGGTCACATGCCCACCTCTCTGGCTAGAATAACGATAATGCAGAAGATGTCGTTTCTAGCATCTCTGTGCGTTGCAGGACCATGAAACTTCATTAAAGAGATTCTTGGAAGGCAAAAAGAGAAAGAATTAATGAAACATATGTCTTCTCTAGCCACCATGAGACAACAAATTTGTCTAAAAGGACACACAAAAAATCAACTTGTTGGTGTCCAATGCTTGTTCACTGCCCAGTCACAAAAGCAGGAGACCTTATTTAGCATATGTTCATTCACCCTGAATTTACAATCACAGCTTTTAAGGAGCTCTGTTTGGTCCTGCAAAAGTACAAGAAGAAACATGAGCCTCCCATGGATGGTACAGAGAGAAGCCCATTCGCCTAAGCACTAAAGCACACTGGCTGGTATTTCTGAGCTACTTCTCTTTGCATGAAAATGGAAAGATTACTTAACCACCCCTAATTTTCCCCAAAACAGTTTTGTCACTCAGGCACCTTCCCCTGCCCTTGATGGCCCTTCATTCCAGCCATCCCTCTGTGGGAACGCTCAGTCCAGATCCTGACAATGCAAACAGAAACAGGTAGTAATTTGGCACCATTGAAGTCCAGGTTTATAGGCCAATTTCCACACTTGCCAATAGTCATTTCCATTACTGAAGCAAAGCACAGAGCCCAAGGTCTTGTCAGGGCTTTGCAGCTGAGGAAAGGCCTTAATGAGCCCTGAAAATCCTGCCTTCTGAGCTGAACAAGTGGCTTGAGGTCAGTGTAGCCAGAATTCAGGAAGAAGACCTCGTTTTGCCTGAAAGATCAAAGGAAGGCACGTGTTTGATTAGAGTTGTCCAGACAAATATCCAGCTTCTAATCTATCCTGATTATGCAGAACAGGCCTGAGAGGGTCATAGCGATTAGAGAGATAGTCACTCAACTCATCCGAGCCTGAGGGACAGCCACCATCTTGGGGGAGTTCTGGGATTGAGAGTGTTCTACCAGTCACATTGTGAAAAGTGACAGAAACAAACAAAACCCCAGACATGTTAGCTCCTTGTATTCTGAAGAGGAAAAACCTTTGGGACTGGAAGGAACCTCAGAGACCCTGTTCATTCATGGCCGCACTCCAGCAACAGATCCCCCAGGTAACAGCCAAGATGAGAGAAACAATAGACCATCATCACCTCTTACTCTGTGGTGCCCCCAGTTGAAAAGGCTCCTGGTGAAACAGAAAACAAGCCACAGTCACAGACTGTAAGCCCTGGAAAGCCTTGGACAGGAGCCATGGGGCTGCCCCCCGAGAAGCTGGGCTGAGCATGTCCATTGTCATAGCTAGTGTTTGGCAGCCATCAAAGGCCGTACAAGCCTTTGAAGGATGGGAAACCCTCCAAGTGGCTAATGCACTAAGAAGGAGTCTCCCCCAGAGAGGGAAGCTGCAGCATGTCTCTTAAAGCTCCCTATGGGACCCCATCCTGGAAGCAGCCCAGGAGCACTTTTCTTGACATGGAAGGCATTTGATAAGGACTTGCTCTGAAGCAAGTGCTTCAGTTTTGGAGTTCACGGATGGAATTTTTTGTGACAAACCTGCAATGTTCTCCCTATGTTTTATTCGGAGCCTGAGGCTGGATGACGGTCTCCCCAAAGCAGCTAACTCTGCAGCAGACTTTGGGGTGGGGATGACTTAGTGGATAAAGTGCTTGTCCTGCATGAAGGAACACCGGGCCTCAGAATCCCCACACTCACATAAAATCTGAGATTTGTCTTGACCACAGGCCAGACAGGACTGAAGAAAACTCTAGCTACAAATGGCACCCAACGGGTTGGCAAAAGTTTCCACCTAAAACCTGAGAAAAAAGGTTCTAAAACAGAGCTAAAAACAGCTTGCTAGTTGTCTCTCTCAAGTTAGTGGCAGCCTGCGGGTTTGAGCTACTATGGTGGGTTCCTGGCGTGTGTGCTTGACCAGCAGTATGGCAGGAAGGAGGCGTCTCCAAGCTGCACATTACACTGTTGCTGTGTGCTATGTGGTGGATTTAGCCTTTGCTAGTACGGAAAAAAAAAAAAAAAAAAAGGTTTCTGGGCTACATGCTGATTCTGCAAGTTGTTGGCTCCCAGAGCTGGTGGTAAACGTACCACTGCCATGTTGGAAAGCTGAGGTGGGCAGAGCCAGCAGCCACGTGGGCTGTTTCAGTCTTATAAATGCTGCAGTTTAAAGCAAGAGGTTCACAATAAGACAGACTCAGATGGAATAGTTTACAATGTGTGTAAAAATGTACACAGGCTTGAAAGCGAGAGAAAAAGGAATATATGCAGTTATATAAACAAATAGATAGTTTTTAAAAATAAAGTCTTCAAAGAGACAGTAAAGGTAGTATAAAAGATAAGCCATGTAAAAATGGATATTACACAGAGAATCTGGACTGTGTTGTCTTTGGAATTCTTAACTGCAGAAAAACATTTGATCATAAAAGCTGTTGAGTTAAGCCAATATGTATATTTTAAAGATACCTTACTTCAAAATTTGAATCTAGGATATGTTGCTTTGGAAAGGAGGCTCTGTTTTTGTTTCCACAGAAAGCCAGAGGCTATGAATTTGTTCCAGATTCAGATACATCAGGTTTGACCAGCCAAGACCCCCTGAAAGGTCTCCAATGACACCATGTGTAGCAAGAATCTTAAAAAGTTCTTATTAATAAGATCAAACCTGGAGCCAGGTATTGGGGTGAATGCTGGAAGATCAGAGAAGCAGAACAAGCCACAGCTTCCTCACCTTGCCAATTCCTCAGGTGATCCTGTTTCCTCAGACTGGATGCCTGTCAGGTGAACTGTGCTGCTCAAAGCCTAAAAGCTTAACCACCTAAAAGCTTCTAGTTCCTGGTCTTCACGCCTTATATACCTTTCTGCTATCTGCCATCACTCCCTGGGATTAAAGGCGTGAATCACCGTGCCTGGCTATTTCCAGTGTGGCCTTGAACTCACAGAGATCCATGCCTCCAGAAGGCTAGGATTAAAGGTGTGAGTGCCACCATTTTCTAGCCTCTGTATCTAGTGGCTGTTCCGTTCTCTGACCCCAGATAAGTTTATTAGGGTGCACAATATTTTGGGGAACACAATACCACCACAAACATGGCCCAGATGATCCAAGATCCAGAATGGTTTCAAGGCAACTGGCTCAGACAATGCACCCTCACAGACTACTCAATAATCTTACATTTTTCTTTGTGTCCCCATAAGATACAGTGCCCCCATCCAGCGGGAAGTAGTAAGAGAAACTATGCCTGAATTCCCAAATATACCAAGCTGGCTTTGGAGATGGAATTGGCTCACTCCTTCTCTAAACCCAAGCATATTGCTAAAAGAAAAGGTTAAGAGATTCTTTAATCCCATATCAGAAGAGTCCTCTGGTGTGGGACAGAGAAAAACCAATATTTTTATAAATGCAATCTCTTTCCAAAGGAAAAAAAGGGCATAGTATAGATAGGATAAAAGGGTAGATTATTGAACCTACTTTTAAAGAGCAAGTTGATTATTGAACCTACTTTTAAAGAGCAACTTGCTTAAAAATGTTTTACATTGCCATGGATTTTAGTTTATTGACACAAATTTAAAGTTAATTTTGTTATACTGTATGTGTATTTTTACTCTTGTTTAAGGTATATGTTGTTGTTGTTGTTTTGGTTTTTTGAGACAGGGTTTCTTTGTGTAGCTTTATGCCTTTCCTAGAACTCTCTTTGTAGACCAGGCTGGCCTCAAACTCACAGACATCCACCTGTTACTAGCTGTCTCTGTCTACTCTTGTAAAACTCCCAAAAGTTGCTTGCATCCATCTCCCGTTTCTCAGGTAATATTATATCCTTCTGAGATCTTTGATGGAGTTGAAGACTAGATAGTTATAATTTCCTTAGTTATGATAAAAGATAAGTTAGTTATAAAACCTTAGACTCACAAATATAGGATAGATAGGATATCTTCTTTAATTTTGCCAAATACAAATAGACTAGATATTGTAACTGTAATTCTTGCTTGATAATTGTTCTGTTATATGTAATTTTACTATGTTAAAGTTCAAACCTTCCTTTTTGAAAAAAAAAGAAAAAGAAAAGGGGAAGTGCTATGGATATCGCTCTATGTAAATAAAATGCTGATTGGCCAGTAGCCAGGCAGGAAGTATAGGTGGGACAAGAAGAGAAAAGAATTCTGGGAACAGGAAGGCTGAGTCAGGAGATGCCAGCCCACCATCCAGGAAGCAGCATGTAACAGGTCACTGCCTATCTATACAGACCTCCAGGTCTCTATGGTTGGTAGTGAGATTAAAGGCATGTGTCTCCAAACTGGCTATGTCCTTGAACACACAGAATCTGTCTGCCATGTGATTGGATTAAGGGTGTGTGCTACCACAGCCAGACTTCTGCTATGGCTTGCTATTAGCTCTGACCCCTAGGCAACTTTATTTATTAACATACAAATAAAATCACATTTCAGCACAATAAAATATCACCATATTTCCCCCTTTCTATTTTAATAAAAAGAAAAAAAGGAAAAAGTTATAAATAATATAAGAAAAACTATATATAATAAGCACAATAACTATATACAATATATACAAGCAATAAATACCTAAACAATGTCTAGTCCATTTGCATTTGACAAATTCAGAGAAAGTATTCCATTATCTATCCTATTTTGGTAAGTCCAAAATGTGCCTGATTCACTTTCTATCCTAACTTATATCACTAACAGAACTATCTTATAATGTCTTTCAAATTTATACACTTACACCTCTTTAGTGAGTTTCTTTTCTAAAATTCTTAACAAGGAAAACTATAACTATCTAATCTTTAACTATAACTATATCTTCAACTCCCTCAGAGACCCAAGAAGGAAATAATATTACTTAAAAAAAAAAATAAAAACAGGAAGTACATGCAAGCAGCTTCCAAAAAAAATGTGAGTTGACAGAAATAGCCAGTTGCCAGGACAGTCACCCAAGGTTTCTCCACAGCGTTGGGGCATCATCTTCAGCCTATAGGCTTAGCGTATCTGACAGACTCATTTGTGAAGTAGAATGTACACAAGGCCAACAGTTCAACCTCACATTTGGTGAGAGTAGTCCATGTACCAGAAACACTTGAATTCCACTAGTGTTATGACATGATTCAGGATTTTAAATTATGGAAATTGTTGATTTTTTTTTTTAATTCAGCTGTCCATTCTTCTTGGCTTGTGTGTGTGGCTTCATCTTAGCATCCCGTTCTTCTCAGCTTGTGGGTGGCTTCAACTCTTTTATCAAATGCCAGTCTACCATTGAGAGGTCTAACCTCTGTCAGCTTAGTTACTCTTTTAAGAATAACTGTTTCAGCTACTTGTCCACTGCACACTAGAAGCTATGAGTCCACTGCCACAGTCCACTCAGGTACCTTTGGAAAAAAAAAAAAAGGGCACTGTACCTTTTCCAGATTGCAAAGGCCACTTCAGGAATGGTGCCATGTTGTCCTGGCCTCAGAGGATGCCTGTTGCTAAAGCCACAACCACACTTGTCTTGGCAAAAATTGGTCGTCCTTTGTTTCATGTCCTGTTTGTCCATTTTGTCCTGTTTGTCAGCAGTCGATTCAAGTATCCTTTGTTATCCAGTGGCTAACTTTTGCTACAAAGGAAGTTAACTCCATATGCAGTTTCTTCAATGCCCATATTTTCTCTGAAGTAGATTGGTACTGCCAGGAGCTGACATGTCTCATAGTCATTAAAAAAAA